ACTATAAAAAGTTGAGAGAGATTTGGGAGAGATTCATTTTTAGCCATTATTATCGTATAATCTTGCAATGCAAGGTTCGTGAACCCCGTTATGCTTCGTTTATGATTGTTTTAAGTCCCCAAAAGGGTCCATAGTCGTGTTTTGATGCGTTTAACTCCCTTATTAGGGTTTCCCATTGATAAACACATAGATTCTCCGAGACACTTGAATTTTTGACATACAAATGCACATTCTTATATATAGAATAACTTTTAACATACAAGTACTAGTTAAGTTTGACCGGTTTGACTTGTTGACTTGTTGACTTTGACTTTGACTTGAATTTGACGGTTGTCACAACCTTCTAGATTCCGGATGTTACATTCTTAAATCCGTGTAATATCGTAAATTTTCAAACCAAAATTTTCAATTTAAAAACATATTTATCTCCATTATAAAATCACAAAAGGTCACAATGTCAATTCATCAAATCTCATATCCAAAAACTGTATATATCAAAACTCCAGAATCCTCTCAATACATAGCTCTTTCTCTGGTGTGTACAATCAAGTCGGTGCCTTCCCGCGATTATGAGAAAAAACCTGAAACACATAACACATAACACGGTAAGCACGAAGCTTAGTGAGTTCCCCAAAATACCACACACAACACATTAGCCACTCGAGGCTATAACTCAATAAGACCATCCGGTCAATGTGTCTCAGTGGAGACCCTCTGGTCCCACAGCTCGGGTGGACCCTCTGGTCCTAACACAGTAGCTTAGAATAATACACATTACAAATCACAAAGACATAATGCAGGATATCACAGTACTCAAATAAACACATAAGACCCTCCGGTCACACACAACTCATATTACCACTCTAGGTATGTATAGTGAGAAGACTCCCCTCGAAGCAAGCAAGCAATTATCCGCATACTTGAATCTCGAACTAGCCACCGCCTAACATATAATGTAAATATCTCTAATCAATACTCGAATTCTCAACTCTAAATAAACCAAAGGTTAATCTTTTTCTCTCTACTCGGGAAGTGGGTAAAAGACTATTTTACCCTTCCATGGTCTCCATTACTCAGGTATGTCCAAACCCTAAAGCCAACAAAAGTCAAACTCGAGTCAACAGTCCATGTTTGACCTGACTCGTCGAGTGCACTCATGCAACTCGTCGAGTCCCCTCTTTTCCTCAGAAGTCTCAAGAAAGTCCAGCTCAGCTCGTCGAGTTGACCCCCAACTCGCCGAGTTATCGTATGTTCAAACTCATCGGGACAAACCCTAACCGACTCGTCGAGTCGTCTCATTGACTCGGCAAGTTCATGCAAACTCAATCCTCATTCAGACGATTCTAAGCAGATCTACAACCCCCACACTCCAGATCTGTCCTCTTAAGGCCGAATAGCACGTAAAGCTGCAAGCTTTACGTTCATGCATGGCATATAGGGCTCATAATGCCAAAAAGTGCTCCAACAAGGGCTAGATGCTCAAGAGCTTGCTTCCAGCTCAATAAAGCTCGAGTCTCTGGACTCACAAGGCCACTCACAGTCCAGATCTGAGGTTGCAACCTCAAACCATACACAAATCACTCCATGATACAAGATAAATGGAAGAAAGCCCTAAAAGTTCTCTAAAACAAGATCTCATAAGGAAATGATCAAGCTAGCATCTTTTTACCTCCAACTGAAGCAAAACTCTGAGGAATCTCTGGACCCAAAAGCCTTCTCTTCATCCAAGCCAAGATGCTCTCCAAATCCCCTCTTAAAGTTGCACAAGAACACCCAAATTAGCCACTTTCTCTCTCACAATGGATGGAACTGATCTAGGGTTTCCCACAGGGCTCTCTGGAAATAAGGGAGGCGGAAATGAGGGCTTAAGGCCCTTTAAATAGGACACAAACCTGTAAATTTAGGGTTTTTCTGCCCAGCACCTACTCGGCGAGTCGGCTCTCTGACTCGTCGAGTCCATTCATTAATACCACGTGGACAACTCGACTCTACTCGACGAGTTGGACTCACAACTCGCCGAGTCACTCCATAAATCTCAAGATTAAACATACAATAATATACCTGAAAGTCTGGATGTTACAATCCGTGATTCCATAACTTAAGCCCAATCAAGTCTCTTATTATTCTGACAGCCCAACACCAAGCCCAACTCCCAAATAGATAACCTAAAAAGAATAAGAAAGAGTAAATTACACGAATGGTCCATATGGTTTGAGGTAGTTTGTGCGTTTGGTCCCTAAATTATTTTTTTAACTCGGAAAGTCCCTACTGTTTGTTTTTGTTACGCACTTGGTCCCTACTGTTTGTTTTTGTTACGCGCTTGGTCTCTGTCTTACCTAAAAAACTATTATTTAAATAGGGAAAAATGATGGGGTAGGTATGATAAGGTGAGGGGGTGAGGTTGGAGGTGTGTTTATTTAAATAAATATAAAAATCAAGGGCAAAATAGTTTTTTTCGGTAAGACAGGGACCTAGCGCATAACAAAAACAAACAGTAAGGACCTTCCGAGTTAAAAAAATAAGTTAGAAACCAAACGCGTAAATTACCCTTGGCTCACGACTTACATTTGATTATGAATACCTGAGCCCAAATGCTTTTAAATCGAGCCATTTTTCCATTTCAATTAGGAGGATAGATTTATTAATAATTACTTGGTTTATATAATCAATGATATAATTATATACATTCTTAATTCATTAATTTTATACGAATTTGGTAAGTATATTAAATTAAAGTATCGGCTAATTAAATCATGTAATCGTAATTTAAATTTATAAGACACTTATACATTGTAAATGGGTTATACTTACACTTTCATATTAAGCAAGACACAATTTTGTATTAAGCGAGACATAACATAACTAAATGACATAAAAGGATGCAGGGTATTTCCAAATTCCATAGTTCTATCAAGGGACATTCATAGATGATTAACCAAACTAAAATCACATTACAGATGGTTAACCAACAAGAATGGTTCGTTAACTTTTTGAACTTAAATCTAAACCGAAAAAAATGATTTTTAATTAACTTGTTTTTTCGATTTGATTACTGATTAACATATTAACTGAATACTAATAATAAATGTGTTTCAAAACTAAAATTCCGTATAAAAAACCAAAAATTATGACTCAGAAGAACATGGTCACCATTGATGGCATGTTGTAATATAAAAAGTTGATTCATACCCGGCTCAATTTGTGGTATCTTGATGTCATCATATTTTAATGTTTACCAAGAACATGTATGAAATAATTCAGTCAAAACTAAACTATCTACATGAGGTATAACAATAATTGTCTGTACAGATCTAAACAAGTGAAAGATTATAAACGTTTGATGCAAACTACTGTTATCAAAGACATTGTGGAGGTGTGTGTAGCAATCGTGTCCGGGAGAGGGTATCTAATGGAGAGTTGAATATAAAGGATCATGTGCCTACATGATTCTCCCGACTTGTTGATCACAAATGAGAGGCTATGGTTGATCGTAATCCAAGATGGATTCATTACTCTTCGACACCCAAGTTAGAGGGTGATTACTCAAAAGATTAGGAGAGTTATAAGGATGTAAAAATGAGAGAGCATGATGTTGCTTATACCTTCCCATAAGGGTAGTATTTATAATGGTTTATATGGGAGATAAGGTGTACACATTATCTGAAGATACACCGTCTCTTTTGAAGGTTTTGTCTGATGTGCTCGTTCCATATAGTGGGTGAGACACGGTAATATGTTCACGCTGGAAAAGTTTGCGCCTTAGCCCAGACTGCGAGTCTGAGATCTTATAGTGGGGTACACTACTAGTGTGTAATCGAGCCAAAAAAATCAAAGATTTTTTAACGGTTTAGTTAACCATATCAAATTTCAGCATTACCCAAACAATAAAACCAAAGATTCAATCGATTTTAAGAGTTTTTCATCTATGATCACTCAATCTTACAAAAAAACAAAAAAATTGCTGTTGGTGATACATTTTTTTAGGAGTGTGATGGTTTTGTGATAACATTTATTAATATTTTTATTTTGTTATATAACATTTTTTTTTGAATTGCTACACACTGACCATCCTACTCCGAAATCTACATCTCTTGTCTTCAGCAAGACTTGAACCTCAATATTTGGCTGGAGAGCACCAATCCAACAACATATGATATCGGTAGGCCAAAGTCCTTCGGTATATTAGATACTAGGTGCGAGATCCGTATATTATACGAGTTAATTTAAAAAAAAATTAAACATTAAAAATGTAAGCAGTAAATATTTTTTAATGTAAAACTTTAAAATAAGAAAGGAAGAAACGTATTTATTGCAATTTAATTTCATATATATTATATTTAATACTTTACATATATAAATATATTACTTTAATTTTAAAAATTGAAACAAACCAGAAATTGACAAGTGAATAATATTTATTTCAAAAATACCACAAAATGACAAGTGTCAAAACTAATGAGAAATTGATAATTGTCAAAAAAAAAAAAAAAACTTTTATTTATTATAGAGGATTTTGTTATATTACATATTATTTTTGTGATTTTCTCCATTTCTAGTACACTATTAATTTATTATCAAAATATAATGCAAATAGTTAACGTTTACAATAGATATGATATGATGTGTTTGTATATATGTATGCATGTATGTTTTTTTCTAAATTTATAATACTTTTTCATAACTTAACTGTTATTTTATAATATCGACTTTTTAAATTGCGTTACTGTTTCCTTACATTTTTTTCTATATAAATTACACATGATTACTTATATTGTTAACATAAATTACTTTGTATTTCAAATATTATTTTATACAGAAATAATAATTGAAATAAAACAAAAGGAAGAATCAGACCAAACAACCTTCAAATTCTCTTGCCCTACTTTTGTACAATACCCATAAAACAATTCACCTTTCTCTCCCTGTCCTCCTATAAACCATGATTAACTTTGCCCTATGTATCAACAACACTTGTACATCAAGCAAACCCTAGAGAGAAAATGAAGAGAGTTTGTGGTTGGAGCGTGCTTCTCTTAGTTGTACATTTGAGTTTACTAAATGATGGTTTAAAGGTGTTTGCTATTGATCCCACACAAGGGTTTACCAATGTCCCCTTAACACCAAGTAGCTTCATATACCAGAAACCGTACAACGTCCCACTTGCAGACAGATACAGTTTCCATAACGGTATTCGCCGATTTTGGGTCTATTCAAATGATCAGCCATTCGAGCGTGGAAGCAACACACGACCCAGAACCGAAGTTCAAATAAAAGTAAGCTTTTTCATTAAGGGTCTAATCAAAATCAAAATTTTCTGACATGGGATATGAAGGATATGCATTGCTTGTTTGTACGGTCCAAGTAATCAATACATGTCCTATAACCATGATTTTTGTTTTTTTATTAAAATCCTTAGAACATCCAAAATAGAATGGCTTTTTCATAAATAACAACCAGAAAAACTCTCTTTTATATTCGGAATAAGTGAGCTTTTCAATTTACATATTATGGAACCCACAATAAGTTGTCTATTTATAATTGGCTGAAAACATATGAGACTTCCTTGATCATGGAAAAAGCTCTTGGTAAATATTTGTTAGTTAACAAGTTCTTTGAAAACTTTTTGGTCTGAGAAACTCCTTGGATAGTTTTTTCAACTTTAAAGAACTTTTTGGTTTAAAAAATTCTTGAAAATTTTATTGAAAGGTATCATTCATATAAGATTATACGACATTCTCTGTAAATAAAACTATCAATTTCACAATAGAACACAAAATAAAAAATCATATTATTGTGAAATTGTTCATATCTCTGTAAAACACATAAATTTATAATGAATTTGCTTATTTTTATATTTGTTATGTCTTTAAAAGAACAATTTCGCAGTCATCTTATTAAAAAGAGGGTAATTTTGTAAAAACTCTTCCTCCTTTTGCTATTTTTGTGATTTTCCCGTGTCAAATTGGATAACAAAAGTGATTCGTAGTTGAATTTTTTACCTGTATTAAATTTATAGTGGAATAAAGTTGTTGCTAATACGGGTTTTTGATGTTTTACTATGCAGCCAGACTACACTTCGGGGATTTGGCAATTCGAAGGCTATGCATTCATACCACATGGAACTTCAGGTGCTACGATTGTGCAAATCCATGGTGCAGCCGAAGGTAACACAACAATATTACTAAGGATCTATAATGGAGACATGAGGTATTACAATGGGGAAGTAATTGCTACTAATTTATATGATAAATGGTTCAAGGTGAATTTAATTCACAATGTTGATGAAGGAAAAATAATGGTTTACATCAATGACGTGAAGAAGTTTGAATCACATGATGAAGGTCCCGGAGACTTGTATTTTAAGTGTGGTGTTTATGGTGCACCGAGTGACACGAGTCGATATATGGAATCGAGGTGGAGAGACATCAAAATATACAAGAAGTCATAGACATGTATATGATATGTATATATGAAGAATTTTGATGTTGTATGTGTGATCTATATATATTATGAAAGTATTATTGTACATGATATTTTATTGAAGTTGAACGTGTATGAAAAAAAGGGTAAATTGTGTTTGTAACGGTTTCATGTTGTCTCGCCCATTGGTCTTAACATGATGTTTTTGAAAGGGTTGTAGCTTTTAACAAAAAGAAAATGATTTAAAGAAAAAGTTTTGTTCGTGTAAACAACCTTAAAACTTTTATTTTAAACAAAAAATTCATGAATCAAAAGTTTATTTCAGATAACTTCTAGCTTTTATGATTTATATCATTTTATACCTTTCAATAGCTTAAGGCTATATTTTCTGAACAATTATACCCATACAGAAGCTACAACTTTCAGAATCTGGCTATCTATATAGAAGCTACCGACTAATTTTATCAAGATTACATTGTCTTTGAGCTTTTATTCTACATACCGTGGGTTAGGGTTTCTGTTAAAGTCCATGTCATTTGAACTTAACCAGTATAAGATATTTGTGTAAATGACGATTTTAATTGTATTTTTTATTTTATAGAAGGAATCACCAAGGTTTATAATGGACAAATGTATGAAATAAAATCATTATTATTATCATGTATACTTGTAAAACCAAATATATGTAGAGAAATACTTATAATTTAGTCTAATATAGTAAGGTTTTTACAAGGATTCGACAAAAAAACTGGGTGTGTTTTTTCTTTGAGAAATAGTAGTGAAATTTGTATGTACCATTGTTAAATGACTAATGGGTAGCGAAATAACTATATAGGCTTCAAAATGGGCCTTATGGGCCGAGTGACCTAATAAACTTTTTATTTATTTGTATACCATATTTTTTTTGTTAAAATCTTTCTCAATATACCACTTCATTTTAAAAGCTCTTTCTTGATGTATAAATTGTCTTTAAAGAATTCTACCACAAAATAAATAAATAACAATAAAAAAGAAACAAAAAAACTTTTTGCTTATTCACAAGTAAACCTACGATTTTTTTTTAAAGTCGTTTTGATGATTTTGTAAAGTTGTGCCAATTTTGCAAATAAAACCTGCAATATTGATGGTTATTGAAAAAAAAAAAAAACCTTAATTTTGTTTAAATCTTATAAAAGATCAATGAGTTTTGTACAAGATTATACTACCAAATAAGTTTGATACATATAGACAACATTATGATCTTCAAAAACACATTGATAAATACACACAAAATTATCATCTATAAAATATTTTACTAAAGTGAAGATATACTACCAAATAATAAGCTTGATATAAGAATATATCTTTTAAAATATATCGTATTTAACAAATTAGTAAAAAACTTATTTGAAAAAATTCGTTTACTAAAAGTAAAGAAAAACAAAACTGAATAAAATAAACCATTTCTACACAAATGTACAACTGTCCATGCACCATGTACAACTGACACAACCCTACAAAAACATAACAAAACAAATCTCGTTGCAAACAATCACCATATGTAGATAAACCCTTATTCGTTGGTGCTCAAAAACCATGAACAAATTGAATGAAATACCAAATAAAAAAAATACCCAAAACCCAAAGAAATCAATTAAGTTGTAAAAAATAGGGGATTTGAAATCGTCTTCTATTTTCAAGATGAACCACAGCCACAATGTAATCCGATCTGAGTAAAGAACCATTGTAAAAGAGTCGGATGATCATCATGATCATAACCACCACCATCATCATCTTGACGCTTTGAAGATGGTGGTGGAGACAGCGGCATATCTGGCGGCAGGTGGCGGTGGAATGCATTGACAGCATTAGCAACACCATCTTCATTCTCTATTAGCTTTGCCAAATCCATTACTCGAGTTTTCACCTATTGAAATCCAATCACAATAAAGAAAACACGTTATTTTATAAAAACAAACTTTAATCAAATAACATATATTGCAATTAATTGCATATGAACATATTTCAAATCGTTTGAAAATAAAAGTTGATTTATGACTAAAAATTTTACTTGCCTCGGGTTGTAGCATGAAATTTATCGCATCTGAAAGTGCTTCAACTGTAAGTTGAGATATTGGAATTGGAGTGGGCCCCAGTCCTCTATTATATATTCTATCCCCCCAAAAATATTGATCTCCAAAGAAAGGAACAATAGTTGTAGGACACTGCATTTTCATAGTACAAACATATTAAAAGAAAAAGCACTTGTAATTTTCACCATTTTATTAATTTATCTAATAAACTATTTCTTTTTTTTTTTTGAATTTTTTCTTAAAAAAAATGCTACAAGATTTAAATATTACCCCGGCCCGCAATCCTGTTGCAGTCGTTCCAGCACCACCATGATGAACCTACAAAATAAAAAAATTTCAATTTATCAGTATCAGTATCAGTAACAGTGTCAATAACAACAACAACAACAGTATTAAAAGTCGTGTTAACATATAACTCACCACAGCTGCACATTGAGGGAACAACCAATCATGAGGACAATCGACTAGAAGAAAAACATCATCCGGGATTTCGGGAACTGAAATTCCAATTTTACCCAACAATCAAAAAAAAAAATCAATTTAATTTAATTTTTCATTGAGAAGAAACTTACAAGTCCCAAGATCTCCCCAACCTCGGTCAATTATCCCCCTTTGACCTGTCCTTCTTAAAGCTTCCAAAATGATATTTGTAGTCTTCGTTGAATCTTCAAGAGGCTTAAAAACAAACAACATAATTTATATATTTACAATACAACATTACAACCAACAATTCAATATCAAAAAATTAATCAATTTTGACCTCAAAAGTCAAATTGTACTTATTTAAATTTAGTCGACATACCATGCTTCCAAATCCAATATATATCGGACTTGATCCTTTTCCAATCCATTGAATAAACTCTTCGGGAGGTTGATATTTTGAAGCAAGATTCAAGAAGCAATAACCAACAACATCAACTAGTGGACCCCAATCTGAATACAAGTAAACGGGACCCACAAAATTACATCTTCAATTCTTCTCATATCATATAAAATTATAAACAATACCCTAAAATACAATACGTAGTTATAAATTATGTATAATGTATACATACCTTTAGGTTTAGATACAACATGAGGACTCCACATATACCCAGTTGGGAAATGAGAAATTGAACCACGATACATGCTAAAGTAAGCAATTGGAGCAAGATTTAACTTTTTTCTAAAGTCGTTTATATATCCTCTTATTCCCCACCAAATTAGAAGATCGACAACTATATATGAAAGCTAGATACCCAAAAAAATAAAATTAGATAGTTATAAATTTATTATTATTTTGGAGAAAGGAAAAAAAAAAAAAAAAAACGTACCCAATTACCAGCACTCTGTGGGACCCGTGCTAAGGGGGAAGGAAACTCAGATGTCGGCCTGCCTATACAAAGGAGATGTAAGAACTAAGAATTTTTTTTTCTTTATTATTGAAAAAACTAAAATATAATTATATTATTCTTATTATCCATCGAAAATCCCTAGGCACTTTTTGTTGTATTTGATACAAATTTAATCAAAACTTACGTCCATGGCATTGTAAAGAACATGTGAAGAGGAACACCAAGAGCTTCAGCAACATGCGCATGTCCTGTCAAAAGTATATTTTCACCATTTTATTGATTTAGACACCGAAATATTATTATAATAATCATAAAAAAGAAAAATAATATGAAAATATGAATATGAACTGACCATAGGCAGGAGGATTTGCAATGATTGCTTGAGCTCGAAAAGGTTGACCCGTTTTTAAATCTGGTTGTGTGCATGCGGGAAGAAGAGATTCGATAATTGCTTTTAGTTGTTTTCTTTGTATGATTATTTCACCAGGTGCTGATGGAATAAGACCTTTATTCCTTGCCATATCTGAAGTTTTTAATAAATACAACAATGTCTTAAATTAGTGATTACATTGAAAGCAAGTCGAAATACATTTTATATATATGGAGGGCATTTACGTCTTTTGCACAGATGAACGATTGAGTGCGGATCTATGTCCCACCTTTCTCGGTGGGACAAAAAAATTTGTAATTTTCGTCCCCACTGATATCGGTAACAGTAGTACAATGCCATGTTAAAACACAGTACAGCTTGTTCTGTCATGTCATGTCATGTCATGTCAGAACAATGACATGACAGAACACTGTACAATGACACGACAGAACAATTACAACTTGTTCTGTAATGACATGACAGAACACAGTACAATTTGCTCAATTTATATAATGAAAAAGACCTCTTACATCCGGCCAAAATACGAGGATCACCGCCCAAAGGATAAAAGTCAACACCAGCCGACTCTACAAAAGACCGGAAGTTTGCATGTGTTGCGAGCCTAACATGATGACCAAACTCCTGCATATAGATGTATTATAACCTTTTATTATAAATTTATAATACATAAATATATGAAGATACATTGCTATTTCTAGTATATAACCCTAATTATTATAATAAAATACAGGAATAATTACTTAAAAGGGTGATATACATTTCGACTTGTACACATTTAGTCCCTGAGTTTTATTTTTCATCCATATTTGTTTCTTCAACTTGTTTAACTGTACACATTCAGTCCTTATGACCGGCTACTCCAGGTAAGCCGAAAAAAAATGACTTAAAAGGGTAATATATTTCTCACTTTGTACACATTTAATCCTTAATATTTTTTTGCACATTTAGTCATTAATATTTTTTTTGTTGCTAAATAAGTCCTTGTTTTTGTACACAGTTTTTGTACACATTCAACTGAGGTCGCGGTGGCCATAAGCATCAACAGCTCCGAACACCTCAGTAATGATGGTCCCACGTAGGATGTTGTGAGAAAACCTAAAGAAACCACTCATAAGTACTGAACGTGTACAAAAACAACATGGACTTATTTTGCAACAAAAAAAATATTAAGGACTAAATGTGCAAAAAAAATATTAAGGACTAAATGTGTACAAAGTGAGAAAGATATTAC